AATTAAGACATGAGTGTTCGTCAACCTTAAACAATAATCTTTGTCAATTTTATTTTCAGTCTTTATGATGGTCGATACTTGATCTATCTCTGACTGTTACATCCCCGGGCAACGCCGGGCTGTACTGCTATATATATATATATATATATATATATATATATATATATATATATATATGTTATGTGTAGTACTTCTTGGGAAGTGCTCAATATCAGCGATAGAGCTAACATATTCAGTTTTATGGATATGAGTTTGTAACCTTGGGTTTCACGCCTTTACGATCATCAGACAAACAGGTGGGAGAGGCTACTGTGTTGGGTAACTGAGAGCAGTTTCGTTTTAGTGGCATCAAGTGTAGTAGCGGTTCGTAGTAAGAAGTTTTTCGAGTTTTTACTCCTTACTAATGAAATGCAAAGAAAATCAGGGTGGTTCGCTCCAATATGGGTGGTATGGCGGCTCTTAGCTGGGAGGGTCAGGGTTGGCGGAACGAAGGAATGTACCTCGTCTGAGCCTTTTCTATGGAAATAGCGATAGAGTAGTGAGAGGCTTTCAACGTTTCGCCTGTAGCAAAGGAGTTGTAGGGTGGAAAATAGTTCATCACTCACAAACCTCTGTAGATGCTTTTGTACTGGACAGCGAAAGCTGGACAGATCCAGCTCAAATATGGAACTTTCCATGGAAGTAGCATGAGAGCAGTGAGAAGCTTGTCCCAACCCGCCTCATAGGGTGGAAAATAATTCATCACCCACAAGGAGTCTTTTGAACTGTATCGAAACTAGAAAGTGAGGACTGGGCAGCTCCCGACCAAATATAACAACAGTACTCCATTTTCGGCCTGATCTTGCTCTTGTAAAGGTCGAGCCTCTCGTGCCTGTAACAAACTTCACAAAAAGATTTGGCGCTGGAATCTTCCATCCTCTCTAAAAGTCAAAGTTCAAACCTTTCAAACACTGATTGAAATCTCCTACTGTCTGGATCAGAAACTTGGAAATTATCTGTTCGTCTTGAAAGATGACTGGATGGAACATATACAAATCTACTTAGAAAAATCCATAACATCAGTTGGAGACCCCATGCAGACTAATCTCTCTTAAGCTCAAACAAAAACGATTACAGCTGGCCGGCTACTGCCACCGAGCGGACAGGGAAATCGTCTCATCCTTACTCCGATGGCATCCTTCAGGAAGTGTCCGTATGCAAATCTTAACACAATTTATGGAGAACTGAGACTAATCTCTCTTAATCTCAAACAAAAACGATTACAATTTGCCGGCCATTGCCACCGAGCGAACAGAGAAATCGTCTCATCCTTACTCTGCTGGAAGTGTCTTCTTACGAAAATTGACCATCCCAGACACCATAGCTCGGGACTCAGATTTGGATATTGGGGGTTCTGGGAGACAAGAATACAGAATCGAACAGATTCGAAAGGGATTGTCAATGGAGTTCGGACCAACCAAAGCGAGGTCGAAGGATGATAATGATAAAAGTGTATAAAGTCTATCTCGTTTGTTTGTTTATAGATGTGTGTAATGTGTTTCCAGATAATTTAGTTAGAAAAACACAAGAAGTCTCCGGTGTTTTCTTACCTCGAAATATTCTTAACTTAAATTTTTCTTACCTCGAATTACCTCTTGGACAATGTTGATTATTTCATAATTAATTAAATCATTTCTTAATTCAAATCGTAATCAAAACGTTTAACACAATTTACAGGGAAATAAGACCAATCTATTTTAAGCTCAAATAAAATAATAAAATAATAAAAATGATTAGAATTTTCCGGCCACTGCCACCAAGCGAACAGGGAAATAGTCTCATCTTTATTCCGATGGCATCGTTCTGGAAGTGTCTTCTTACGATAATTGACCATCCCAGACACCATAGCTCGGGACTCAGATTTGGAACATGGAGGAGTTGGGGACAGCAATGAAGGACTGAACAGTGTGGAAAGGAATTGTCAGTGGAGTTCCGACCAATTATAGAGAGGTTGAAGAATGATGAGGATGATGATGATGGAATCGTTATCAGAACAAGAATAATTTAATCGCAGTTGATTAAATAATTTACAAGTTATTACATAGCGTCCTGGCATTCATTTTTGTTAGTCTGGATCTGAGGATATTTTCCGAGCTCTTCATAAATTGCATACTTTCTGGAGGAAACAAGTGATAAACCTCTTCTCCTGTTCAAAAAGAAAAATCTATATTCCTGTTCATACAACTCCCCTATTTTTTGAATAAGAGAAGAGGTTTATCCTTTGTTTCCTGTTTGGATTTCGAGCTCAAACATTCTATCCTCTTTTCGAACATTGATTGAATCAGTCCTATTGTATGGATCAGAAACATGGAGATTATCTGATCGTCTTGAAAGACGACTGGATGGAACATATACAAATCTACTTAGAAAAATCCATAACATCAGTTGGAGACCCCATGCAAATCTTAACATGGAGAACTGAGACTAATCTCTCTTAAGCTCAGACAAAAACTATTACAGTTTGCTGGCCACTGCCACCGAACGGACAGGGAAATCGTCTCATCCTTACTCCTATGGCATCCTTATGGGGGTGTCTTCTCACGAACATTGACTTTCCCAGACGCTATACCTTGAGGCTCAGGGTTGGAGATTGGGGATCTGGGAACAGCAATACAGGACTGAACAGTGTGGAAAGGGATTGTCAATGGAGTTCCGGCCAAACATAAGGATGTCAAAGGATGATGATAATGATGATGATGATGATGTAATGTCGAGCATAGCAGTAGGACTCAGGTACTTATTGGAGCGGTACAGAGAACCAACCATTTTCCAGAATCTTTACCGGGGATCGTATGTACAGGTTTCGCTTGAGGTATTCAGTCCAATAGATGTTCAAGGCAAGTGGCCTCTTTGGCAGAACATCCGTCCATTGCGATTCAGTGTCTTTTCGGTGATGTTATAACGTTACTAGTTTTGTTTTGTGGACGTTTTTCCAGTATGGAGTTATTAGATTGAGGTCAGGTATATTTAGCCGGACTTCACACTAAGGCAGGATGTGATGCAAGGTGCTTTTAACATAGGAAGCGCGATACACATGTATGACTATTGGCCAATGACTAAAAATTTTTCCCCCATTCCTGTGATCACTGTCACGCTGGTATCGATATTACACTGACCCTGTCTCTCTTACTGCAATGAGGAAGGTACTGCCGAAGGGTTGGAATCTCCGGGACCGGGCAAATTCTCCCACCTGAAATGAAGAGAAGTGTTCACTCCGGTTCCGACAAAAAAAAGTTAACTTCTGTAGCAGGTAAGTTATTATACCTAGGTCAGAGGAGAGATCAGTTGCCAGGCGCTGGTCATCTAGAAGTTTAGAGGTGCATCCATATTGATGGCTAGCCAATCGTATCTGAGAATGCCCGTCTAATGGGTCGATAAGCGAATTCCTGTTGCAGACGCCTGCTCAGGCACATGGGTGTTTGTTCAGTACCCACAAATCCCACATATGGTTTATACCGCAACTATGCTGAGCGGGTTTTACAGATTCTGCGAGAGAGCGTGTTATCTAACGTGATCAACAGTATGAGCAAGGCCAGTACGCCCAAATCAGAGGCCACGATGACTTGTGACTTCATGCATCGACGTAGGGTAAACGGCTCCCGAAGGGTTCCGTCTACCCAATTTCACTCACAAGGTTTCGGTCAACCCCTCGTATGATTTCCAAAAACTGTCGAAAGGTGTATGTTGAGATCACCTCCCCTAGACCGATAACATCAAGAGGTTACCTTTCTGGCAAATCGACCATGACAGCCAGGTTCGAACCCGGGTCTCATGGTCTGAGATATACCGTTGTATCTATTAGCAGAAGTGGTGTTTCTTGGGCAAGATAGCCTGACGGAACCCAACCCTCTCCAGGCCGGTTTTGAATTCAGAGGTTTTCATTATCCTAGACCGATTGCCACCCAAGGCTATAGAACCCAGTCTCTCCTGCTATTTACCCATTGGAAGAAGGGTATTAGCACGTAAGTGAATTTAATGAACTCGACTGGAATTCGAACTCTGCTCTCTGATTTCTCAATCCGAGCTACAATCCATTACTCCACCGTGCCTCTTCAGGCCAGAAGAGTTGGATTCATGCCTTTCCCAAGGGTATTAGCACGTAAGTGAATGTAATGAACTCGGCTGGAATTCGAACTCGGCTCTTCGATTCCTCAATCCGAGACACAATCCATTACTCCACCGCATCTCTTCAGACCAGAAGAGTTGGATTCATGCCTTTCCCAAGGGTATTAGCACGTAAGTGAATGTAATGAACTCGACTGGAATTCGAACTCGGCTCTCCGATTCCTCAATCCGAGCTACAATCCATTACTCCACCGTGCCTCTTCAGACCAGAAGAGTTGGATTCATGCCTTTCCATAGGGTATTAGCACGTAAAGGAATGTAATGGGTCCGATAGGAATTCGAACTCGGCTCTCCGATTCCTCAATCGTTATCCATTACTGTACCGTGCCTCTTGCATAGATAATCGCAAAAGATGAAGTATTTTTGAACAAGACATATTTTTGCAATATGAGTTCAGAAAAAAAAATAATGACGTGTAAACCATTTTGCCTTGTTAACCGAATTTCAAGGTTCCACGTAAATATTGCCATTAATGTAGTCTGCGACGTTTCCAGAATGTTCTGTACTTCTTTCGACAACACAATTTTAAACACGTGGCGATCTTTCGTGGATTGTAGGCGAAAGACAGATGGAGGTTTGTTTTTTTGTTTTTTTTCTTCCGTACATAGATGGTTTTTAAGAACGGGGAATACGGAAGAAGAATAGGCGTTATTGATGTTGGAGTACGCCCATTTTGGAGGCGTTCCTATGCAAATGACATCTGCTTGCTGCCTTCATCAAATTTCCCGTAAACATTTTGGCAACGTTCAAAGACCCGGATGTCGAAATAGTTTTAACAAAAAAATTGCCATCGGCTGAATAAACTTTAAGGGTAATGGAGTTTTGGAAAATCTTCTATGCTTTTAACTTCTCGTTTTGTCCACGGATTTTGTAATATATTTGTCAAGTATTATCTTGTCTGCATCTATCTATATCTCTCTGTGTCTGTCTCTGTCTGTCTGTCTGTCTCTCTCTCTCTCTCTCTCTCTCTCTATATATATATATATATATATATATATATATATATATATATTAAAAGAAGAGAGAAACCACAAAAATAAAGCATAATATATTCTTAAAAAATCCACGTTACAACCAAAAACGTTTGCGGTTTCTCTCTTCTTTTAACACACACACACACACACATATATATATATATATATATATATATATATATATATATATATATATATATATATATCAGTCTCTTTATATCTATCTTTTTATTATATCTATCTCAGTATCTTCATTATCTCCTTCCCTCTCCCCTATCTATCTATCTATCTATCTATCTCAATCTATTCATTATCTATCTATTCATTATATCTATCTCAGTATATTCATTATGTCTCTATCTATCTATCTATCTATTCTAGCCTCTTCTTATCTATCTATCTATCTATCTATCTATCTATCTATCTATCTATCTATCTCAGTCTATTCATTATCTATCTATTCGTTATATCTATCAGTATATTCTTTATGTCTCTCTGTCTCTATCTCTCTCTCTCTCTCTCTCTCTACTATTTATTCTAATCTCTTCTTATCTATCTATCTATCTATCTATCTATCTATTATTTATCTATCTATCTATCTCAGTCTATTCATTAATATCTATCTCAGTCTATTCATTATCTCTCTCTCTCTCTCTCTCTATCTATCTATCTATCTATCTATTTCAGTCTATCTATCTATCTATCTATCTATCTATCTATCTAGGTCTATTCATTATCTACATATCTATCCATTATATCTATCTCTCTACACACGTCGTCTGTCAGTCACTGTCGTTTTTTCGCCTATCTAATCAGTTTTTATTTTATATTTATCTTGCTCCGTCTGTGCATATCTAGCTCGCCGCCTAAAAATGTTTACGGGTCCCTTCTGTGCGCATACACGCCAACACGCATAGATGTGTGTGTGTCTGTGTGTGTCTGTGTGTGTGTGTGCAGGTAAATATGTCCGAAAATAGACTTTATTTGGGCATAATACTGTACCTCTCTTTCTTTCTCTTACTTTCTCTCTCTTTCTATTCACACTTTAGACGCCTCGTCTTGGAACAGTGGATATACCAGCTCGTAATAGTTTCGTTCTCCACCCACTTAAGGTCGTTCCTGTTCCCGAATTTTCTATCTAAGCAATGGTATTTAATTTAATACTGACACACACACAAAAAAAAGAAAATGTTTTATGCTTTAAAAACGTAAAAAATATATTGTAGGACTTAATTCCTAAATCAAACCAATTATGTATATTCTATACTTTGATAAAATAGAACATACCCTGATGAAAAAAGGCCCTAAACTGGATTAAACAATTTTTTTATTGACTAAATGTTTATGTTATTATTAAGAGGAAAGACCAAAGTATTTCTTGAATATTTTTTTTAAATTAATCCTTTCTAGCACGTACAAAAGTTTAACTAAATATCTTGTTTTTTTTTTTTAGTCAAAATTTACATAAAATCAATCATGTTAGCCATTTTTGATAATTTTGTAAACAAAAGTGAAATTCTCCATTTAAAATCTTATAAATTCAATTATACTTTTTCAAAAGTTATTTTATGAAAATTAGAAAATTTAATGTATACTTAATGTAATTTGAAACTTAACTTTTTAGCATTTTCAAAATAATTTCATTCATTTTTGAATAAGTTCTGAAAGTTTCATTAAAATACGACGATTATTTAATTTTTGCAAGAATTTCCAAATTAATGTGTTTTTTCAATGGAAAAAGCGCCAAAAACCTAATGCTAAATATTACGCGACGGCTGACGTAAAAAAAAAAAAAGAAAAAAAAGATTTTCAGCCAAAATTTCAAACGTGTTCGAAAGGAATAAAAACTTTTTTTAAATTAATTAAAAATATTTTGGCCTTTCCTCTTCTTAATAACATAAATTTTTTCACGCTAAAACTTTGTTTTTGTTAAGTTTGGTACCTTTTTTCATCATGACATGCTGATTTTTCGTCGAATTATTGAATATACCTATAGATCGTATAGCACCCACCACGGATTGAACCAGCGCTGCCATTACGACGACATTCGATCTTCCACTGTTCTGAGATCAAGGACACAACGTGGTCAGAGACGGTGTGGATCGAAGCAGTCTGTGACCAACAACCAGCCTTGACCAGCGTCAGCATTGACCAGCGCAGAGTTAGCCTGTGGTTAAAGTGTATTCCTAAGACCCTGAGGACTGGGCTACTAAACTTGGTTACACCACCGAGTGTAAGCAACAGCAAAAGGTGTGACAAATGTAGTAACCGTCGCTTGACAATGTGGTGAAGGAATATATGTTTGTCTTCAATATAGTAATGACGGTTTAGCTGTTTATGGTCGCCAGCTATTCGTGCAAATGATGTATTTCGTCTCTGAATGCACAAAATTAATTTATCGTCTCTAGTTTTGGTTAATTTTTCATCTGATCATATACTCATATAGAGACATTTGCAAAACTAGTTGGCAAGCTTAGACGGCTAAACTGTACTTGCTACATTGAAAACAAACATAACTTATTCACCACATTTTCGAGCGGTGGCTACTACATTTGGATACACACAAACATCTATAGATCCACTTCGAAAAATACGCTCTGTTTCTCATTGGCTCGAGGCCGTATATCCTGATTGTGAAGGTTTTCTAATTGGTTTGTCCAACTATCTATTTTTAAAGACGGGGAATGTTTGGTCTTCTTGTTATTATTGGTTTATTTCTTTCCTTTCAACCTGTTTGTGAAAGCTTTCTGATCGGTTGGTCGAACTATAGCTTTGTTGCCTGGCGATTTTAAGTATACATCTATTTTCAGAAGTGTTCGAAGGCTATTTACATTGTTAGGACTGTTGTCCTCATCTTTATTGCCATATTCATGACGTTTCGACCGTTGTCCCCAAGGACACATAGCCCAGTAGATAAAAGTGTTGGTTGAACTAACCTAAAAAGAAACATGACTCAATGAGCTGTGTGTTCAATAATCGGCCACAACAGAGGGAACAAAAACTTGTAAAGAAGAGTTACTAAAGGGAATTAACTGAAATGGATATAACCAGAAATGGCATGGCACGTGGAATTAGAACAATCTACCCCGACTAAATAAATGGTTCGATTAGAAATTCCAACGTATATCAACTGAAGAAGGACGGAGCGGACAACGTCCGAAACGTCGTGAATATGGCAATACAGTTTGTTCATTTTTTTTATTATTTTATTTATTTATTTAATTATTTTCCTTTTTGTGGATCACTTACCTTATTTGTTTAGTTTAAGGTTTGGCTTTCTTTAAAGAATATTACATAATCTTTGTTGTATAAAGCATTAGTGGTAAGGTGTTCGTTTTCCGTTTTCAGTTTTTAAGCAAATCAATAAAAATTCGTTTTCGTGGCTATATTTTCAGATAAGTTCAGATCGTTTATTTAGGAAGTTGCGGTTGATCTGGCAAGGTGATTATAGCTATACTATTTACATTATTTGAACTATTGTCCTCATCATTGTCGCAATATTTATTATAACGATTCAGCCATTCTATGCTCCGGCCTTCTTCAGATAGTTGGAATGTCGAACTGAACACTGTATTTCGCTTCCTGGGGTAGACTGTTCTAGTTTCTCGTACCATGTTTAATGGATATCAGTTATCTCCTGTTAATTCCCCTCTGAAAGTTCTCCACTGCCTTAACCAGGTATTGAACTCACACTCTTTGGGTTCTGTCACTGGATCGAACTAACGGTTTTATCCACTGTGAGTGTGAGGCCAATACCTGGTTAAGGCAGTGGAGAACTTGGAGAGTGAAATTAACAGGAGATAACTGATAACTGACACCCATTAAACATGGCACGTGGAACTAGAACAGTCTACCCCAGTGAGCGAAATAAAGGGTTCAGTTCGACATTCCAACCACCAGAAGAAGGCCGGAGTGTAAAAAGGCCGAAACGTTGTAATAAATATGGCAACAAAGATGAGGACAATAGTCCGAATAATGTAAATAGTGTACATGATACCTCATCTCAGAAATGTAGACAGATAGTGATTATAGCTATTTTCGGGTAATTTGCAGTATAAGCCCCACGTTCAGTTTCTAAAATTTCCCAAATAGTTTCATTTAGGTGTAAATTTACATGCTTAATTCGAAAATAACAAAGAAATTTTGCTAAAAGCAACCGTTTTGGAATTATCGACAATAAAAGTTCGGACTCATTCGCATCGCGGCTACAGCAAGACAGCGATTACTGACGTTGTTGACATATGTTTGCCTCGAGAAGTCATGCGCCGGAGCTTCACTTGTATTGATTAATGCGCACGCAATGCGCTAATTTTGCGCGAAATTTAAAACAGCATGATTATTTGTTTTATTATTAATTTAATTATTATTTGTTTAATTATTTAATTTGTTTAATTATTTATTTTATTATTATTTAACCAATCATTTATTATTATCACTATAAAAAATCTTTACTATAAAAAAACACAAAAAAGCTTCACTATAAAAAAAAACACTTGTCATTGCTCTTCTAAATAACTTAAACAAATTTACCAAAAAAAAAAATTCATTACAAGCTTCACTTTCAAAAATGTCTAAAGACTTCTTTTGGTTTTGCGCAGTAATTGAGACGAGTATGATCAGTAAAAAGGCCGTTAACTAAGTAAGCTTCCATGCATATCTTCTCGAGGAAAACGTATGAAAACAACGTCAGTAATGGCGGACGGACTCGACGTGAATGGACGCGAATGAGTCCGAATTTTATTGTCGATAATTCCAAAACGGTAGATTTTAGCAAAATGTCATTGTTATTTTCGAATTAAGCATGTAAATTTACACCTGGATGTAACTATTTGGGAAATTTCTATATTGAGCTAACATATTCGGTTGTATAGATTTTGTGATCATCAGAAAAACACAGATGATCGCAAAAGCGTGAAACTCAGGGTTACAAACTAATATCCATACAAATATATCCCTATTGCAGACGCTCGCTCAGGCACATTTGTGTTTGTTCGACGCCCACAAGAGACAACCTGTGATTTATACTACAAATATGCTGAGCAGGTCTTAGTTACAGTTTCTGGGAAATATCGTGTTATCTAGAATGATCAACAATCTGAACAACACCAGGACACTGAAACCCTCGGTCACGATGACTTTTGACTTCATGCTAGCACAGCTATCGACGGCCCCAAGTGTTCCGTCTACCCAATTTGGATCAAACCGTAGTATGGCTTTCAGTCACTTTCCGAAGGTGCTGCAAGCTGGGATTGTCCCCACTCCAGACCGATAACATCAGCAAGTCTCCTTCCGAAAAAATGGACCATGGTGAGATTCGAACCCCGATCTCATAGTCAGAATGCTTAGAGTTACTGTATTCATTTCTTTAAAATCTATAGATAATTGCATATAGACTATCGATGAAGGAATTTCGAGTGCTGAATAAAACAACAATTATAATAATATTGATAAGAAGAATCATTTATTATATATTATTAGGTGTTATATATTATTAAGACATATATTAGGTTTTATATATTATTAGGGCATATATTAGGTCTTATATATTATTAAAACTTATATATTATTAGGACTTGTATATTATTAGGTCTTATATATATTAGGACTTATATATTATTAGGTCTTTATATATTATTAGGACTTATATATTATTAGGTCTTTATATATTATTAGGACATATATATTATTAGGTCTTTATATATTATTAGGACTTTATATATTATTAGGACTTATATATTATTAGGTCTTTAGGCCAAATAGAAGCATGATGAGAAAAGATATAAAAATCGGAATTTTCGGACACGCCTGTGTT